CAAAAACGGTACCATAGAATTAAAAATAACCTTGATTTTCGGAATCAGGGGGTGATTTTACATAAGAATTTCATAACGGCGTTTCTGGTAAAGAGAAAAAGTTGAAATTTGTGGTCCAGTGTTATTATATCGATAAGTTTTGAAAATATCCATAGCAAAATTGATAATATCGATAAAAAAAATGGATAAAAATATCGATAGCAAAACCGATAAGAATATCGATTATTTTATCAATAAGTCCCGAGAATCCCGAAAATCTCTAAAATCCCAAAATAGTTCCCAGATTGAGTCTCTGTGTCTCTCTCTATATCCTTTCCTCTTTAATTACCTTTATTTTAACCATTTTAACCAAAACAAATAAAAATTAGTGAAAAGTCCACGTTTGTTCTTATATTAACTTTTTTTTTTAATACTTTATTTCATTTAATTGTTCTGATTTTTTTCGGATTGATTAGTAGGGCGCAGCAACATAAAAAGAAGGTTTTTCAAATAGTGGTCACCCCTCTTCTTGGTGCAAAAATATATAGGTTAAGCCAATGAAACGATATGAAACGTATATGAATAGAAACACGCTCAAGAAAGCTTTATCTCAGAAATATGTCGGGAGAAAGTGGCCACCTGTTTAAGAAGTAAAATAAAGTTTAATGAATGCGTTAAGGATTTTTTATAATTTGAATGTAAGAGTTTAAGAAAACTTTATTTCAAAAATATTTTAGAGGAGGGTTACCGTCTGTTCACAAAGTTGATTTCTTTCCTTCATCAACAGGATTGCCTCGCCTATTAAAAATAGAATTTAATGGAAATGATATGATACATGATTTGCTATAATATGGTGACAGGTAATAAAGTCAATGGAAATAATGTCAATTGACTTTATTTCCCACCCTGGTGCGAAATAAAGTCAATTGACACTATTACCTTTTCAAAAGCGAAATAAAGTCAACAAAAATTTGGAAATAAAGTCATTGACGCTATTTCCTCATTCAAATGGAAATAGCGTCAACAATGCTTAAAGTATGTCGATTCATAGAAAAAAATGTTGTTCTTACAATAAGTGTTGTTTTTTAATAGAAGAAGAAGGCTTTTGCCAAATCCTCAGTGTTGTGATATTAATCCACACACAATCATGAACTACCACCAAGTGATTCTATTAAAAAAAAATTTAAATTACGAATATGTAAAAACACGATGCGAAAAACTAAACGCCTGCGCACAGTTGGAATATGAGAAATATTTGAAGAAAGAGTGGAGAAATGATCCATAACTTGCAAAACATTTTTCGTTTCTACAAAAATAAAGCGAACACTATTAAATTGAAGAAACAGTACATGTCCAAAAACCCCGGAGGAGCACTGAAAGAATTCTGTGTTTTAAATTAGCATATTTTGAACGAATTCGG